TATTCAGTATTTACACATGTGTGTCCTATTTATTTCACTTAAGAGTATGGCCTCAATATGCATCCATTTAGCTATAAATGTCTTTAGTTTCTCATTCTTTATGGCTGAGTAGTACTCCATTTCATAAAAAAAACACATCTTCTTTACCCAGTTTCCAGTTGATGGTTACTTGGGCTGTTTCCAAGCTTTAGCTATTACAAACTGTGCAGCTATAAACACGGGTGCACATATATCGCTGTAATATGATTCTTTTAATTCTTTTGGGAAGATACCCAGGGAAAATAGCTGAGTCAAATGGGACCTCTAGTCCTACTTCTTTGAGGTATCTCCATGCTGATTTCCACAGTGATTGTACCAGTTAATGACCACTATTTTACTGTCTTCCAAATGGCTTTTTCCCTAATATCCATAGTCCCTGTATGCATACGGTCACTAATGTTTTTGTTATTAGATTAGTGATTGAGTTGATATAAGATTATAATATTTGACATCATTATGAACTTGTTACAAATTTGGAGTCTGACCTGGTTACCTAACCAGAAATTTTCATTTTTCTTCTCAGATATGTATCAGTGAAATTCCACCTAAATAAACTTTTGTTTATAAATGTCTACACTTTGGTATATTCAAAATAAACTAGACATATAAATATTGGGTACGCGTTGTGTGATGTGATATCACTGAAAAAGGTGTCTATATATTATCATTATAATTACATTAAGAGTGGGAAGTCTGTATATGACCAGACCTCATAAATTTGTGTTAGAAATTAATTTTTAAAGGCATAGAGTTTAGTAATCTGCTAAGGAAACATATAGTGTACACAAGCCCAAATACTTCTCAGTGATTGGACTTGCCCTGAACCAGGAACACATTTTTCCTACACTTTTAATTTTGAGATGATTACAGATGGACATATAGTTATGGGACCAAACTTGAAGACACTATTTGTACCTTTACTCACTTTCTCACAATGTTAGTATCTTTCAAAAAAATGAAAATATAACCAGTATATAGGAATGATACTACCTACTAATCTTATTTAATTGTGCAAATTTGCATGTGTGCAAATATGTAAATCTAGTTATGTGCTATTATACAATCTGTAGATATTCATAATTTCACCATTATAATCAAAATACTGAAGTTTTAGCATCTTCAATATCTCTGTTGTCTTTTTTTAACAAAACTGTCTTCCTCCTTTCCTTAACCCCAGACTTCTGGAAAATATTCTGTTATCTATTTCTAAAATGTAGCCATTTCAAGAATGTTATATAAATAAATTCATAAACCAATATAATACTGGTTATATTTTACTTAGTTATAATACTGGCTTTTATTTTACTTAGTATGATAACACAAAGATTTATCCAAGTTGTTTCACATAACAGTGTTTTGTTCATTTGACTTGTCATTGTTCAGTACTATTCCAAAGAAGAATGTAACACCATTGGTTTAAGTGGTGTCCCATTGAGGGATACTGGAGTCACGTCTAGTTTGGAACCATTTCAAACAATTCTATCATGAGTATTTGTAAACAGGTTTATAGTAAATGTAAAGTTTATTGTCTTTGATATAAATGTCCAAGTAGGATGTACTGGGGTTTATAGTGATTGTGTGTTTTATCATATAAGAAATTACCAGATTCTCACATTTCCACCAGGAGTGTGTATCTGACTCAGTTTCTAGATGTTGTTGCCAACTTTTACTGTCATTGTTGGCTTTACTGGGCTATAATTTGAAATCACTTTTAAACAAGACAGAATCCTCCCCTTTTGTGTATGTGCAATTATACAGAATAGTTAATTTTAGAGTATCAATCTCAAAGTAGTATGTAAAGGCCAGACTGATTGTATGCTATTAGCAGTTCACATACATTTATGATATGCTAATTAGTATTGTGAGCTGAAGTTGCCATATCAGGTTTAATTAACTCTTTAAGATTCTTAAAGACACCAAGCAGTTCTTTTAAACTTGTGTCAGAATTTCAATAGGAAGTACAAGTTTTGCAGTTGAACAGATATTAACTCCTAAATCATTAAGATAATTATTAAAATTCAAAAATAAAAATTGTCCATGCCTCTATCTTCAAATATCACAATGAATACACAATTTTATAGAAGCTTGCTTGATTATAATAGTGTTTTTATTTGATATGTAAACAGAAGGTAGAATTTTTCTCATATAAAATTAAAAACTATGTATTATTAGATGACGCATAAGGTATATTTTGTGCATAAATGAGAGGTCTTTGTTTAAAATTTTATAGTAAAGTTGCATATCCATTAATTGATGGTTTTTATGTTATATTTACATAAGTTTTGAATTAGAAATGACTGAAATACAACATAGATGTATTTAATTATGCAAATAATGTCATAATACATAAACAAAGAAACCCGCATAATAGATCCATATTTTTATCACCTAAAATCCAGTATGTTTGTAAGTTATTTTAAAATGCATTTTAATGTTTAAAGATCTAGTTCCATAGGCATATTATACTATCAATTTTAGAAAGATAATTATGCTTTCAGTAGTTTGATGAAGCAATGGTAGAATAATACATAAACCTAGAGGACCAGTTTTGAGATTCATTAATAATACATACAATAATTAATAATTAATAATACAATTAATAATACAGACAAAAAATCAAAATGAATGATGAAAAATTATTTGAATGGGCTGTTTTGATGTCATTGAAGCTATAATGTCATTATTAATCTTTCTACCTTAATCAAACACTATTCCATCTATAGTTTGCTGAAAAGTTACCAGGGGTGCTATGTATACCCTACACTTACCCACCATTAATTCAACAGCTAATGTCAATTTTATGAATGAGCATTGATCCACACCTATTCTAATTCATATGAGGGTCAAAAAAGACCCTTCACCATGTTATCAGAACATAAAGATATCTAAGACCAAGTGTTCATTTTTTGATTCATTCAGTAAAGTATGTGGCAAAGAATGAAAGAAAAAAAATAATTTTGATATTCAAATTTAAAAGTTCAATTTGGTAGGACATATTCATTTTACTTCTCCATAGATATTTAAGCATACCCATTTTTTTGTGTTCAAATTAACCATGTGCTTTATAACATCACACACTAAAATTTGTTTTCCTGAATGCACAGGTACTTCTGTTCTACAGGTGACTGCCACTGATGCAGATGACCCTACCTATGGAAACAGTGCTCGAGTTGTTTACAGCATTCTTCAGGGCCAGCCCTACTTCTCCGTAGATCCTAAAACAGGTCAGTGTATTTACCTATAATCTTGGGGTATTGGTGCTTGTTGCAAGGAAATAATACTATGTTTTTATTTGTATAAATTTTTCTTCTTCAGATATTGATTTTGCACATATTTAAAACTGTATTTACTTCTCCTAAAACAATGTCATTGAATAAAGATAAATGTGATTTTATTATTTTGATAATCCACTATTTATACACACACCAGTAAAAATCAAATTGTCTTTGAATATTTCTATGACATCTAAATACTGCTTAAAACAAATGGAATATTATATAAATTGAATGAGATGGAGAATTCATATATTTTTATGCTTATTAGTTTTTATCTTTGGCAAAGGGTAAGTGATGCTATAAGATTTTTCATAATTTTTTAAAATGTGGTTATCACATAAATTGTCAAACACAAACATGGATATATATGTATATATTTATATTTATTTATATATGTATAAAATTGTATTACATTGGGGGAACTACTATGAGTTCAACTGACATTTTTTCCTAATAAGCAATATCCTTAGTCCTCAGATATAGAATTGTTTAAAAGAATATCGCTAAGAATTACTCTAAAGACATATAAATATTATTTCTTATAAAAATATAAATTCTATTCTCTTTTCTTTTTCTCTGGCAAAGCAATTATATGCCATATTATATGTGAAAGTTGAAAAGAAAGGTACTAAATAGTGCATCACAATGTTTCTTCAGCACAATCCAAAAGCTATGCAAAGCACAACTTCTCAGTAACAATAGTTTTTCACTGAGCCTCTGGAAAAACAACAAATTGTTTGGCAGGAGTTTTGTCATTATCATGCATGCAAGAGTATTTGACTAGGTCACTTGCCTTCCTCTTTCCTATGAGGTGCTGCAACATCTAAGTTCACTGCCAAGAAGAGATCCTAGACATACTACTTAATGCTTACCTTCTCAAAGGAAAAGGGTGACCAATGCATACAGATAGGGATCTATAAATGAAAGACCTATGTTCACATGGGTACATATCAATATTCTTTGAACATGTGAATTACAGATTACCTTAAATTATATCATTAAATGAAGTGAATATTGAAAATGTGAGATATTAAAATAAGTAACATAATGAGGTCTAAAGAGAATATGTGACATATATTTTCATTCAATTTCAAAATCAATAATTGGAAAAATGTTTCTTAACTTAGTAGTCATTTTGTAAATTGGTAATTTTGATAGGGCATATACATATATACATAAGAGTTTGGAATCAGTTTAAAGCTTAAAATATTCATTAGTTGATAAATTGTTTATTTCACTCTGTTTTCTCAAAAATTAAGTTTGAATACTCTCAATTCTGATGTAGTTATATTTGAAACCAATTTGAAACTATATTTGCTTCAAATATATTAGAAATATATGTCTCATTTTCAATATATATTTTTTTAGAGGAAAGAAAGATAGCAAATGTTTTTATTGCCAAGTTCAGTATACATACATGCATTATAGTCATATAATCATATTTCTATATATAGCCATGTATTTATCAATGTGATATTCACTTAGTAGATTATTGCTAAAATATAGATATCATGTGTGGAATATATTTTTAACCTTATTATTTCTTATTATGCATATTATTAGTTAAAATATCTTTGTATGTGTGTCTGAGAGAGTGTTTGCATGCATGATTTATACTTGGTTTTTGTGTATGTACTTGGATATTTAGATTAGGCCTCTGAAGGCAAAGGCAACTATAATTTGGGCTTTAGTAGAAGCAAATGAACCAATAACAGTATATTTAAATAAAAGTTAATTTGAATACATGTAATTATTAAAGGTTAAGCAAGATCTATATTTACCAACAAAAATGTTTATCTCAAGGCCTGGGATTTAGCTCAGTGGTTTTGCCACCTGCTGTGCAAGCTCAAGGACCCGAGTTTGATCCCCGGTACCAAAAAAAAAAAAAAATGTTTATCTCAAACACAGTGCCTTACAGTTCCTTACTGAATTTCTGCATTATGAAACTGTAATATGAGTTTTTCTTTGCTCTTTTTTATAAGTGATATGATGTATTGAAAGAAATGTATGCCTCCATCTTGATATGTTTTAACATCTGTATTACACCAGCTAATTCATCATGGAAACTTATGGATATATATTCTATAGACTATGTCAATAAGGGAATAAAATGTTTCTAATGATCCTTAAATATGCAAATGTTTTAGATAGAGAGTTATTTGTAGAAAGTGTTAAGAGGGTTATAAAATAAAATACTCATTGTCTTCAAAGCAAAGACTATTTTGCAATTTGTGCTTAAAAACTCTATTACTATGCAATTAAACAGGCTCAGAACTAATGAATTTAGTTCAAATTGTGCTTTAAAATGGCTGGAATAAAATCCAAACAAACACTGAGAAACAATTAATTCCCTTGAATGTGATGTTATATAAGAAGTGTAGAATAGTAGTCAGTTATGAAGGTGTGTTTTAATAGCATCACTCAATTCCATCTTCATAATTGGAACGACTCCTTTTCCACAAATGTTCAAGTACTTTCATTGAAGATCAATTATAATAAAATTTTTATTCCAAAATGAAGTACAGTCTTGAGTTGCCTAAGACAAGTATTTATATTGTCTTCTTTCCTTAGTTAAAAAGGTACATTTTGGTATCCATTGTGATTTTATGATGATGAACTTCCAATGAGACCTTGTATTTCTATTATATAAATCATCAGTAGATTATTGTATTCAAAGAAATGAGACATGTTGCAGTTGAGTTACCATAGAATTTATTTAGTGTCTCAATTGTATATCCTGAAATCTCATTTATCAGTGTAGTAAAATACAAATCTTGTGAACAATTTATTGTCGTAAATAACTTTTGTCAAGATATCTATGACATGATGTTTTTCAGAGCATAAAAGATGAATAATTATTTAAAACCTTGTTTTAAACATTAATTACCTTTTTAAAAGTAGAGAGAATATGACAAGAAAATAGCAAAGAAACATACTATTTCTGGCCATGTTAGAGCAAAGAAAACATACCCAAGTAAAAAATAAAATTAATAATTAATAAAATAGCTAAAACCTGAGCAAGGTATTTTGAAGAAATACATATGCTGAATGGGAAACTCATGCTAAATGGTAAGAGAACCACATTCAAGAGAAATCTGAAAGGACTCTTGTTCATAACATGAGTCAAATGTCAAACCTACCTCAGTTAATATGTCAACTTCATTAAAAATTATCAATGTGTTCAAAATTTCTGTGTCTGTTTAGAGTACATGAAATTTCTTTCCAATGGTAACCAAAGAAATGGATAATCTAGTTGCTACACTAAGGAACTACTGTAGTTGATTTTACGTACCCCAAAACAGAGCCATAATTCCATTCAGTTTCATTCCAGCCACTCAAAACAAAATGGATGGATTACATAAGACTCCAGGGTGTAGTTTTAATTGGGAATGGAAAGTTATGGAATGGACATTACTTGATAGGCACTTGATAATTTTCTATCAGCTGTTTCATAGACACTAATACAGGACATGCTTTGTTTTATTTTTGGTACCTATATGTATGCCTGTATACTGAGTTCTGGTGGTCAGTTCAAGAAAACCGAAAACTTAAATGGAAACCTAAGATTAAGAAAAACAAAGACATGTGCTGGTTTACATAATCCTGGGTTAGCTTTATTTATGATTCTTTACATGGTAACAGTGGTGAATATCAGTTCACTGCTTAGCTCAGTCCTTAGAAAAGTGTTAAGTATCGAGTAAAGTATTCTCCCCTTCTTTCTTTAAGATTGACAAGACTTATCTAAATTACTGTATGATAGACAGTGATGAGACTATGAAATATTCTTTTCTGAAATAGAAGAAAAATAGTATTTTGTTTGGCATAATTTTAGTCCCAATACTCATAGATATGTTTTAAAAGTAGTATGTATCATTTATGATCATTTGTGCAGTAAATCTGTATTGCTCATATTTTTAGAAAAAGTTTACAAACATCATAATTAAGAGAAATAAACCATTAGAAAATTTTGTACTTCAAAGGAAGAAAACAGACAATGTAATGATTAACATTTTAATTCATAGTCCGGACTCAGAGTAGTTTCTGTAGAAGAGGAGGGATGGTGTTCTCTACTTGAAATAAATCATTAATATGCAGGTCTAGATTGACATCATGTTTCTACACAATAACTTTCCCTTAACATTTTGTAGTAGAAATCAATCAGCTATAAACATAACTCATTAATAAATCTCCACGAGCCTTTAATTGAAAGTACAGTTTTCAGCATTATTCTTCCTGTGTGCATAATGTAATTAAATCCACAAATACTGTCTTATATCTGTAACCTCCTCAAATTTCTTTAAACAAAGAGCATAGATACCAAATATAAGCAAGATTTCTATGAAAGTTTGTAGGAAGGCTATAAAGCACTCTTAAAAGTTCTAGAGATACCAGTATTAATTTTACAAAATTCTAGATGAAATTTAAGAATCATTTTCTGCTTCAAATTACTGTCTTATTAATAACTAAGAAGATTCCAGGACATGAAAAATTCCATTGAAAGTCTACACACAGAAAGAGCCAATGTGAGGACAGAATTTCAGATATTGAAGATAAGATTGCACTTAGTGACCAGAAAAAAAAATTGCTTCAAAATTATAAGGGAACATGAGAAATCAATCCAGCAGCTGCTAGATGATGCAAAGAAGAATA